TAGACCTTGCGAAATAAGTACTTTCAATAGATCTTCCTAAATAAGTACTTACATAGACTTTGCTAAATAGTACTTATATAGACCATGCTAGATAAGTACTTGTAATAGACCTTGCTAAATTAATATTCATATAGACCTTGCTAAACAAGTGCTTACATAGACCTTGCCATATAAGTCCTTTTCATATACCTTGCTAAATAAGTACTTATATAGACCTTGCTATATTAGTACCTACATAGACCTTGCTAAATTAATACTTACATAGACCTTGATAAATAATTACTTATAATAGACCTTGCTAAATAAATACTTATAATATGCCTTTTTAATGCTAAATAAGTATTTATAGTATGCCTTTTATGACAGACCTTGCTAATTAAGTACTCATAATAGACCTTTAATAATTTTACAAACACAGATATTAAAGGATGTCAAGGAATAACTGTCTGTGTGTATTCTGCCTCATGAACTTTTAAGATCAACGGATTGCTATTGTGCGCGACTTGACGTGTATTGTATAGCATTTTTTTTCTTTTTTTAAGATTAACATAGGAGTGTCAATAAGAAACACGAGAGCCTGTTTTTTTTTTTTTTTTTTTTTTTTTTTTTTTTTTTTTTTTTTTTTGTCATAAGTCTAATGTGGACTGATGATGGAAACTATGCTATATAAGATAAATAGAAGACTGTTTTATATACTAGAACAAGAAAAGTCATGGTAAATGTGTTTTTTTATACTCAAAATTCAACACAAAACGCTCGTGTGAGTCAGTATCTAAATTTGAACGTCACCGTAGCGCGTTTTCTCTGTAACGAATAAAAGTATTACGTATTTTCCAACGGAACCCAAGGCAACTGTAACCTTAATGCCGGTAAACAGTGTATCTATTTACCCTGACTTGCGGTAAACAGTGTTTTCATTTACTCTGACTTGTTTGATATTCTACTCGTCTTGTAAGCACTTTTCGTTCCTCTTTCTACAAACTGGCGTAACCACCAATTTGTTGATTTTGAGTTTTATTTGTATTTGGTATCAGTGTACCAATGCTTGATTTGTCTCAAATTTATGTGACCTAATTTCTACTCGATACTGAGATACAGCTTTAGTATCATGACGTTGTTAGAGATTTTACAATTGTTGAAAAAATTGAGCCTATTTTCTGTAAATATAACTTTTTTTTTGCACGATTTGGTGTCTCGTCTCTCGTTCTCTGACATATATATATATATATATATATATATATATATATATATATATATATATATATATGCGGTGTCTCTTTTACTTAGTGAAATATGTTGATATACCTTCTGCTGACACGAACAAGGAAGAATATTAACATATACCTGTATTACTCAGATATCAGTGGCCAATATTATTGTTTTTATCATCAGATTATTAGCAGCAACATTTTATCATTATAATTTTTCTTGTTATTATTACTACTGTTATTGATTTGATGTTTAAGAAAATGAGATATTCTAGGGGCATCTTTAATCCATATCCGGATGTGTATAGTCGTAATTAGTAGAGAGAGAGAGAAGGAGAGAGAGAGAGAGAGAGAGAGGGAGGAGGGAGGGAGAGGAAGGGAGGGAGGGAGAGAGAGAGAGGAGAAAGAGAGAGAGAGAGAAGAGAGAGAGAGAGAGAGAGAGAGAGAGAGAAAGAGAGAGAGAGAGAGGGTAAAGCCAGACCTTGAGAGGAGCTAACACAGACTTAGACATAAACAACCACCCCCTCCCCCCCCCTCCCAGCACCCCCAATTAACACCCATGCCCTAACGACGTCTGAAGCAATGCCAGGGTATAACACATGATGCCCAGGATGACCACAACATGCACCCGCACGGCATCCAAGCATAACGGCAGACAACAAACAAGCACAAGGTCATGACGACACAAAAGAACAGTGCGTTGGAAGATTCGTTAGATAAAAGACTTGACCGGAAATACATTTTTTTTTTTTTTTTGAGTGCCTTATCCTTCCATTGTGGTGGAAGTGACCGGATTTCAAAGAACAAAACCATTTTCACGTTAATAGAAAATGGTATTTATATACTGAATACTGACACATTCGGGAAAAAATAAAATATAAAAAGTATCGAGCAGAGATGGTTCAAAAGATATACAATGTTTTGCACAGAAAGATGAAACTGATAAGTAAGTTACATGTTAAATACCACCAGTCAGCTGTACAACTGACGACCAAGGTCACAGGGACATGACCTATCCTAAGAGAAGAAAAATAAGTCACACGAGGTCACAGAAGTAATCAAACATCACTTTCTTATTCACACTCGCGAGACGTTGTGGCGTAACGTCCATTAATTCTCAAGACGTTTCTATTTTTTCATTATTATTCAAGCTCTCTCGTTCTTGCAGTTCATTCCCTTGTTCAGGCTGAGTTGCATTGCGTTGCAGAAAAGGGTATGGATGAGAATGTACATCTTCACAATACAAGAGATGTATGTAATCGGTTTCGAAATTTATGGTGTATTTCTGACGAAGATACGTCCTCTTGTATGGTGAAAATAGTCATTCTCAATTCATGTTTTTTTTTTTTTTTTTTTTTTTTTTTTTTTTTTTTTTACATTTGTCAACGGAATACAGTTCGTGTATTGTGTTATCTGCTGAATTAACGGATTGTTAAAATGGAGTGAAGTGTATTATACTTTTTCCATTTTTTTTCTGTTAATAATTCCGATAATTGTAATCGAAGAATTACTAAGATGAAAATGTCGGCTAAGAAAAAATAAAAAAACACATGACCAATGACAGATGTAATAATAACAACAATAACAATAATAATAACAATAATAATGATAATGATAATCATGATAATAACAACAACAACAATAATAATAATGATAATAATAATAATGATGATGATGATGATGATGATAAAATATAATAACAATAATAATAATAATAATAGATATAATGATAATGATAATAATGATAGCTTCAATAATAATGTTGATAATAATAATAATAATAATAATAATAATAATTATAATGAAATTAGCAACAACAACAATAATAATGATAATGATGATAATAATAAAAATGAATGATGATAATAAGAAAATAACAATTATAATAATCATGATAATAATAATGACGATGCTGCTGATGATGACGATGATAATGTTTTTGTTGTTGATGATGATCCTCATAGTGATAACACTAATAATGATAATAATAATGATAGTAATAATAAGTAGGATAATCATCATTAGAATGATGTTAATAATAATTTTCATCATAACAATGATAATGACAGTGATAACCATAATGAGAAATTATATTGATAATAATAATAATAATGCTACTGCTGCTGCTGATGGTAATAGTAATAATAATAATAATAATGATAATAATAATAATAATGATAATAATAATAATAAAATAATAATAATAATAATGATAAATAATAATAATAATAATAATGATAATAATAATAATAATGATAATAATAATAATAATAATAATGATAATAATAATGATAATAATAATAATAATAATGATAATAATAATGATAATGATAATAATAATGGTGTTAATAATGATGGAAATGGTAATAATAATGATAATATAACAATAATTATAACAATAGCAACAACAACTACAATGCTAATATAATAATAATAATAATACCAATACTACCACCATTACTACTAATAGTAATGGTGCTGATGAATATAATAAATATAACAATAATGCAATGATAATGATATCATTAATAATGATGATAATAATAAAATAATTGTAATGATGATGGTAATGATAATTATAATAATGATAATGATGATAATACTATGATAATAATAATGATAATAATAATGATGATGATGATGATAATAATAATAATAATAATAATAATAATGATATTAATAATAATAATAATAATAATACTCATACTTATACTAATACTAAATTAATAATAATAGTAATAACAATAATAATAATGAAATAATTATAATGATGGTGATAATCACAGCGATGACAGGAACAAGATTAACTAACAGCAGAATAAAAACAAAAGTAATTGCAATGATGACACACACACACACAAAAAAAAAAAAAAAAACAATAGCAACAAGCAACAAAACCAGCATGTCCTTCATTCCGTATTCATCCCAATACGTATCTATTTTATTGTGACTTCAATGCGTGCAGATACTGATCCTAGCTGTCAACACCCATCACATTCATTCAAAAGAGACCATTTTCCGACTAAAATGTTGGGCTGTAATAACAGATATGATGTCGAGTCCTTGACAGGTGGACCGTCACTACCTGCTCATCGTACTAATCACATTCCGCAGATTCCTTCACCTTGACGCGGAGAAAACGGGCTGCGGTGCACCTCGTCCGCCTCGGCCAATCAGCGCGCGAGTCTTCATCCTCCGAATAGCTTAGAGCGTCTTGACCAATCAGAGACCGCCTTTCAGAAGACATACCTTTCCCGACCAATCAGCTTCGACGTTGATCCTTAATCAGCTGAGGTGTTTTGTGTTTGTTGACATAGTCCCTGAGTGCTGGGTGGCTTTCCGAGTGGATAATTGCGATATTTAGAGGCAAGTGGACTTTCCGTGCGATGTGGATTACAAGTTGAAGTGGATATACGTCCGCTAGTGTGTGTAAAACGAGAGAAATACGTACGAAATGTGGTGTTTTGATGCGGTTTCAGACCTGGTGCGGGTTGGTAGCTTTCACCTGCTACTTCCTTATTATGGTTGAAATTGCTTTTACATGCAAATTCATCATTATTTTTTTACGAAATGCTTATGAAGAGAAGGTCGGGAATTAGTAGGAAGTTGTTCGTTGTTATTTAAACATCAAAGGTAGGAAAAGAACTCCCTTGCTGGTGGTAAGAAAAGGTCTGTATGGATGAAATACTTAATTAGAAATACATAATTACTGATGTTCTGCTGGTTAAGAAACTTGTGTCAACTGGAGTTTATCCAAATTTTCTTGGTATTTTATCACTATTTGCTCAACATTTGGTGGTATATCTTATTGTGAATGTGTGATCCTTCAGTGTGGTTTGATACTAGACAGGTGTTTCATTTAGAATTGTAAAATTGGAAAGAAAATGGGTATAGTTTCAGTGTCTCATTGCAGACTTTCGTAAGTGATAATAAGTAAGTTGTGCAACACGTAATACCTTGATATAGAATTACAGTAAAATATAATAACACTCACTAATACATGAAATGGTATTTGTTAACGAAAATGATGCACACTCCAGAGATGAGGTCCCAAAACCAGATTTTTTATATATTTCCTCAACTCCACAGTCTATCAGCGCATACCTAAACACTGGGGTATGTGAGGATGTTGTTGACTTAATGTCTGAGTGGTGATATGGTGATTTTTGTCATTTCGCTGTAAATATGAGGTCGCAGTAGCTGTTGTTGATGACTATATCTTATACCCAATAAGATGGCAGTGTCAGTTTCCCCCTCTTTGCATCGCTCTCGGTAACATTAACCCATGAAATAATCTGTGTAACCAAAAAATAACTTAGGGAGAAAATAGTTTCATACTCTGGTAAAGGCCTATAGACTTCTTCCATCTGTATCTGGCAAAGTAAAGCTAGGACTTAATCATTATTTAATGATACATCACCAGGGTGGTCTACAAGCCTCATGTATTGTTGTTTGGGGTCTGCGCATGTTGATAGGTGCGCATGTTCATAGGTGCTTTATTTCACACCAATTTGCTCTGTTTTTTAATTTTTTATTTTATTCCATATCATTGTTTAAAAAAATATATATTTGTACTCATGGATCATTTTGAAGTATGTGTTTCGAGAGTTTTGAGAGTTGAATTTGTGAAGTTATAGGCATATATCTATATCCATATATGATGTAATGTAACTTTGTATGTTATTTTTGGGATCTCTACAAATGTATCAAGTGTCAGATTTATTTATCTTTTTAGAAGCTATTCAACAAGGTAGCCGTGTAATGAATCCTCTTATTTCAAAAAGTATAGATGGCTGATTCTGAAGTGTCATTAGATGTTATACAAAAAATAGATGAATGGTTGGAAATTATACTTGGTAGAATACAAAATAAGCCGTTGAGGTACTCTGCTCGCTTTATTTTATTCATATAGATAGATAGAAGGGTAGATAGATAGCTGAATATATAGATATAGATATAGATAGATAGATAGATAGATATAGATATAGATATAGATACAGATATAAATATAATTATGAATATAAATATATATATGAATATATGTATATATGAATGTATGTGTATATAATATATGTATATATGAATGTATGTGTATATAAATATATGTATATATGAATGTATATGTATATAAATATATGTATATATGAATGTTTGTGTATATGAATATATGTATATATAACTATTTGTGTGTGAGTGTATATATATATATATATATATATATATATATATATATATATATATATATATATATATATATATATATATATATATATATATGTAGAGAGATGGATAGATGGATAGATTGAATGATAGATAATTATTTATATTAAGTTTCATATAAGTTGTTGTAAAAGAAGTTTTGATGGAGGTTACTTATAATATGATTCCAAAATAGTCGAGAACATAGCCAAGATATTAAGAGGGGGGAGGGGCACCTGTAGTGGAAATGGGGTTAACCAGCACAGGTGAGCTTGACACGTGATAAGGTGCCCTGCATGCTGATATATATAATTTAACGAGAAAAATGAGCATTAAAAATGTAGATTTTAGCTCTATAGTAAGGAGAGTGCGAAGTTCTTTCATGAAAATAAATCACAAAGCTTCAAGGGGGGAGGGTATGTGATCTGTCGTCTTTCCGCTGCACTACTG